GATGATCATCTGGAATTTCGGCGTCGTGGGAATGATCTGCATCCACTGGAAAGGGCCGTTGCGGCTGCAGCAGGCGTACCTCATTGTCATCAGCGCCCTCATGGCCCTCATCTTCATCAAATACCTGCCCGAATGGTCAGCATGGGTCATACTGGGAGCCATCTCGATATATGGTACGGTGCCTGGAGATTGATTGACAGACCGCAAACCATCTGCTTCTGCATTTGTTCTTCAACTTCTCTGTGTCACTTCATGTACTGTGACTCCCATTCACATTTAAAATAAGGATTGTTATTTCTTTAAGGGGTTAATCAGGCCTAAAATGAATATTCTGTAATTATTTAATCTGTAATCACCCTTGTTCCAAATTTCTTTGACTTTCTTTCTTATGTGGAACATGAAATAATACTGGGAAGAATGTTGCTAACAGTTTAAGTTCCCATTGAATTCCATTGTATTTTTTCACCAATGGCTGCAGACATTTCTCAAAATATCTTCTTTTATGTTCTGCAGAAGAAAGAAACACTTAAAGGTTTGGACCGACATGAGTAAATTATGCCAGGATTTTCATTTTTGGATGGACTATCCCTTTAACTTGTTTAATGTTAAAAATTCAGTTCTTAAAGGTACAGAACATAATTTTCTACATTTTCTTTGTAGTGGCACAGATATGGCAAAATCACTGAAAATGCTCATATCTGTGGGATTAGTGCACATGATTGTTTCACGGTTTGTGTGTTTATTTTCCAGATCTGATTGCGGTGCTTTGTCCGAAAGGCCCGTTGAGGATGCTGGTAGAGACGGCGCAAGAAAGAAACGAGCCAATTTTCCCTGCGCTCATATATTCATGTATGTCTTGAAAAATGAAACCAAGAACATGCAGCATGCAGACTCACAACAATTGGGATTGTCTAAAAATGACACCAGTTTGCATCACCACATTTGTAATCAGCTAGTTTAACCACTTTAAGTCCAGTCAAGATGGGTCGTGTACTAATAAATTTTCTCTTTCTCAGCTGCCATGGTTTGGATGGTTGGCATGGCTGACTCTAGTAATCCAGATTCCGGTGAGCTGCACTTTACTAGTGCTTTTTAGTACTTTTTTCCAAGACCTTGAAATGCTTTGTGTGGAAAGTGGAATCTAATACCCTGTAACCTAGATATTGGTGAATAAGCTGTTGTTGTCCTCTCAGCTGATGAAAGGCAGCGGAATGAGGGCGGAGCTTTAGCACAGGAAGGGTTGGAGTCAGAGGATGATGCGGCTCAGGGAGGGAGGCGGCGGTATTCAGCAGAAGAGGACCTTGAGGAAGACCGTAAGTGGTTTCTGTGACTACAGCCTCAGTGTGATACAGATCATGTTCTTTGCTTACAGTACTTCACTTATAAAGCATGTAATTAAGGCACAATGAGGTGAACTAGTTAAAAATGCCTCGGGCAATCAAAGCAAACTTAACAAACAGGTTTGACTATTTTCATTCTAGTGTCATATGCTGAAATGCCTGTTGGTTGGCTTTCTCACAGGAGGGGTGAAGCTGGGTCTTGGTGATTTCATCTTCTACAGTGTGCTGGTGGGAAAGGCGGCCACCACCGGAGGAGACTGGAACACCACACTGGCCTGTTTCGTGGCCATTCTCATTGTGAGTGTCTCAACTAGCCTTTAAGATCCGTCATGTACAGACTAACATTCA